AATGCCACGAGAAATGACATTCGTGCCATAGATACGAACTTTCATGAGATCGGGCTGAAATGTCAGTCATGTCTTTCGTCTTTGTTTCATCATGTCACTTCCATAAATAAAGAGTTTGTGCGGTGGGAGGTGTGTTATTTCTGGCGGCTTGTAGCTACAACTAAAATATATCATTACCAAAATAATGAATATTTGTTGGGAAAGTATAACAAACAAAATACAAATGATATCAATGTCAGATTGACTTTTCAGAGGCGGCGACTACTCTGAGACTTTAAACTGACACAAATGTGGTCTTTTTTTCCCCTCAACAGATAGCTAACCATCCCTATGTTGAATACCAGTGTTGCCTTACTTTTGTAATATTACTTATTTTGAAGTGATTCAATGAGTTGAAACAACAATAGTCAAAAGACCACAGTTCAAGACATCATTTATATACTCATATTCATGAATATTATTCATATTTATTTTGTCTTTTGAGCTAAACTCATTGGATTGTCAATATATATATATATATATATATATATACAGTATATATATATATATATATATATATATATATACATATATATGGTAACACTTTACAATAAGGTTCATTAGTTAACATTAGTTAATGTATTTACTAACATGCACTAACCATGAGCAATACATTTGTTACTGCATTTGTTCATCTTTGTTAATGTTAGTTCATGAAAATACAGCTGTTCATTGTTTGTTCATGTTAGTTCACGGTGCATTAACTAATGTTAACAAGATTTTAATCAAGTATTAGTAAATGTTGAAAATAACATTAACAAAGATTAACAAATGCTGTATATGTGCTGTTCATTATTAGTTCATATTAACTAATGTAGTTAACTAATGTTAACTAACGAACCTTATTGTAAAGTGTTACCATATATATATATATATATATATATATATATATATATATATAATCTATTTTACCATAAAAGGTATAGAATCGTAGAAAGCATTTTATTTCATCAGTCAATAATCGTACTGTCAACAATTCACATCGGGGCATCCCTAGTTATGACTACCCCTTGCACTGTGCCCTTTTTGATGTGAAGAAGAGCCTATGGATGACAGTTGCTCTGAGGCATGAGCTGGGTAGGTATATTGCTTGAGATCTCCACTTACCTAGAAGTCAGTGGCAGGACAGTTTCTGAGAGTGTAGTGTCACAGCGTTTTCATGTGGTGGAGGTGTTGGAAATTTGTAACGCTCTTCCGCTGCTGCCAAGATACGAGGGCTAAAGCGACAGGCATGCGGAAGTCTTTCTGTCAGAGATCCACGGGAAGGGAAGGAGAGAAAAGAAAAAAGGCTGCAGAGCGAGCAGCCTTTTCTGTGTTGACACTTTCACCCAATGACAGCTCTCTTACTCAGTCACTGCAGTTCCAAAACAGTGCAACCTCTGCTGTGTCTCTCTAGAATAGATGCACCCTCTCCTCGTCTCTATCACAGCACCACCAGAGTGCACTCAACATTCACATGGTGACCTCGGCTCACTCCCACTCAAACAGTGTGCACTTTCCCTCCCCGAGCCCTCTAGTAGAGCTGGACATAATACTGTACCTTTTATCCTGTTTTTGGCCTCAGACAGAATGTGTGAGGAGGTTTTTCCTCAGGCAATACATAGTCAGCCCAGGGATCCTCCAGCGAGAGGAGGTTTGTCCATCTGTTCAGGCTGGCAGGATGGAGAAGTGTGTGTCTGAAATTGCTTAGCTGCAGTACAAATTCAGAGAAGAGTGCTTACACAGTTACCACAGTGTACAAAAACATGTTATGTACCACCCAAATGTGTTTGTGTTCTACAGTAACTAATGCTAGAGATACTCCTGAGCTCATATGAAGTATGCAGCATCACAGCAGATTTCAGAGCAATTGATGCGTTTTTCATTGTCTCTCCATCCCAATTGGTGTACTGTCCACTCAAAATAGTATCCGAGTTTAGAATTCAACAGCAAAATAGCTGTTTGACTACATATCTGTGAGCAAACATCTGAAGTCACAGCTGTATTCAAACTCGTGTAACTGTAGTGACAGAATCAAAGATGGCGATGTACATAACACCGGGAAGTTTTATTGCAAATGGCATCCTGTTATTAACTAAATGAGTCCAGTCGTGGTGTGAGTTCATCCGAGATGAAAACAACAACAAAGCCTGATAATTATTTATCTCTGTGAATAAACAAAACCCTGCATAACACGGGTCTTATAAACAACTTATCAGCACCATCTTCAGACTGATCTCATGAAGTAGCGTATGTATGGTCACGCCAATTCATATTTCCATTTTTGGCGTGCTATCAAGACGCATAATCGCCTTTCGGTGCAGTTGTTTATGAACGCCGTTGACTTAACGTTATATAAATATATGACTTACCTCAACCCCGTCCCTAAACCTAACCGTTACTGGGGTTAATGGCATTTATGACCGTTCCCTTACCATCCTAGGTAAAAAAAAGATAAGACTTACCTCAACCCCATCCCTAAACTTAACCGTCACTGGGGTTAATGGCATTTATGAATGGAGATTTGACTGCGTGTACAGACACGCGGAATGACGCGGACGTTAATGGCGTAGACATATACGCATACACGCGGATAGCTCAAAATGCGTAGAGATGACACGCCACCTGACTCGAAAGTGACGTATAGACGAATCCGGCGAAACTACCGGAAGTAAGCGGGCACCATTACTGAGCTGTTGCTGGGTAGCGTTGCGCCATTGCCTTCTATTGTTTTAGTTGCAACTTGCGTCCACTGGAATAAACAGCTCGCGATTTACGACTGTCACTAACGCTACAACGTTAGCCCTTGTATAATGTCGAGTAGGTAAACAGTTTCCGTTATAAATTGTTTCAATGGTGGCAGTAAAATTTCAATTTTGAAGAGAAAACATTGTGAATACCCCGGGTCGACTGCCCCTGTCTGGTGCCGTACGGTTTACACAGATTTCCTGGGCGAGTACAAGACGTGGACATTTGCGTATAATAACAATTATTTAATGACATAAGTAAAAAAATATAATAAATGTGTGATATAGTGATCAGCAAAATCTCCTCTCTTGTTATTTTTTCTATTCAATTTACATGCTATGGTCATTAAATGGCTTTCCTGAGCTGAATGTAACGTTATGTGACATAATTGTTCTCCTGCTGTTATATTGACCTCTTTCCATGGTTTAAAAACAGTAACGTTAGTTGGTCGATATTATGTATACTTTCTAGCTGTAACGTTACCTTACCCATGCCCGTTGCAATGTAAAAATGAGATAAATAATGGACACAAATGAAAAACATGAAATTGTTTATTTGATTTCATTTATTTATTTATTTATTGTTGCCAAATGGACAGATCTTTTTTTAGTTTCCTCGGTAGCAAACGTTAGCCTAGCTAGCTTGCCAAGCTATTTTCATAAATAATCTGTAAGATCGTTTGTACCTTCATCTGTGACTGGAGGCCAATGTCTAACATCATCAACCCAACAAGTCTGCCTGGCTGTAGCTGTCATCAAGGGTGCGTTATCACCTTATCTCCGAGGTTTGTTTACATACAGGTGCATATGTCTATGCCGGTGTAACAGCTCAGTAATGGCGTCGCCACAAGATGGCAGCCTACACAAGAACGCTCGTCGGATTCGTCTATATGTTTACGCAAAAGTCATGATGTCATGTTGCCATCTTATACTGTAGTTCACTGTAACCTAGTGAGTGATGTCAGACAAAACAGCTTCAAAAGGATCCTCTTTTGTTGATCGGTCAATTGCTACTTTTTTATTTGCTGTTTTGATCATTTCAAAACTAGTGCATAGGGCTTTTATTTTGGATGCGATTAATCGCATCCAAAATAAAAGTTTGTGTTTACATAATAAATGTGTGTACTGTGTATACTTATTTTATACATAAATACATACACATGCTTGTATAGATTTAATAAATATTTGCATGTATATAGATTTATAAATAATTTATATTACTCAATTCAATTTTATTTGTATAGTGCTTTTCACAATACATACTCACTTAAAAAAATTGGGTTAAAAACAACCCAACAGATAACCCAATGGTGGGTTGATATAGCACTGACCTATTGTTGGGTTATTTTAACCCAATAAATTAGGTAACTAGTTTCACCCAATAAATTGGGTAACAAATAACAAATCTGTTGGGTTATTTGGCAAAAATGATTTAATCAACCTATATTATTATAATTACCGGTACTATTATTGACATATAAATAAATAACTCACAACTTAAGTATATTAACAATGCTTTATTTGCATTCAATTAGACATTGCATTCACAAATTGTTGTAAACATTTTCATTTATTGTTTTTTTTTTGTTGTAACATTTTTATTCAGTTATTGCTTGAGTTATTGTTTGCAATTGCTTTAATTTACTTCCTTAAGGTAAGAAATTCTTTCAATAAATAAACAAATAAATACATAATAGTAATGCAATTATAAACTGCCTCATAAGGCGACAGTGTTGAGGGAACACCTCAGGCACAGAGTATTAATGCTAAAATGAATTTATTTACATATATGTTTTAAGTTCTAAGAAACATGGAAAACAAATACACAAAACAAACCAAAGCTTGTCCAGCTTATCCAATTATAAACTGCCTGAGTAAGCGACAGTAAGTTGATGGACAGAATGGCACAGAATTTATTGTGTGTTGTAGAAACTGCCAAACAGAGGCTTTGGATAGTCTATGTCTAAAGCATAAAATATTTTAAAGCATGTATCCACAGCTTGTAAAAGGCTGTCTTGCTCTCGTGCCGCTCCTCCCACAATGACGAAGGCTTGTGAGCAGTTGAATTTATCTCCAAGCTGCAGGACATGAGGGAATTGCCTCCGTTGCTCCTCCTCCTCCAAATATTTTTTGTTCCAACCTTTAGAATTTTTAAATGGTAAATATGCACACATGGATTCAATATTATCGAAAAATGTTTTACCCAACATAACCCATAAATGATGTAGTACCTACAAGCTGTAAATCAACAAATGGTTGTTTTGCCTCCTGGTAAGAGGGCCGAACCATCTTGTAGCCCTTTTTGAATGGCAATGGAGGAAGGATAGCTTGCAGGATCCAAGAGTGTCTTTACATAAAACAGAAAGAACAATAGATTAGAATAGGCCTAAGTTCTACTTTTCATGAAGTCAAATTAAAAAGGTTTCACTATATTAGTGATGCCATTCTTTAATTGTGAAGAGAGTAAGCAACTGAGACTGGGTTTCCTTTTTCAAACTTATCTCTCACCTGCAAATCTGTCGATTAATGTTTCAATGTACCACTTCTGAAGTGTTTCCCTTACATATGAATCCATAGCATCCTGTGTAAAAAAAAATATGAATTAGTTAATATAAAGTGAATTAACAAAAATAAAGCCTGTCACTAATCTACTATATATTCACATTAAAATCACAGGAGCTGTAATTTTACAATAGAAGCTCCTGCAATGGCCATGTTTTGTGGTAAATGACCTTGCATTAAAACACAATTTTATAAATGTATTTGTAATCATGCAACTATATTATTGAACTTTAATTCAAAAAAAAAAAAAGAGGAAAAAGAGGACGTATGGTTACCCTAGTTTAACACTTTATAGTATTTTAAATTCACACTGTAGCTGGATAGCCCAAGTAAACATTTGCGCTATAATGTAGGCACTTATAACACAGCATTACGTTAACTTACCTTCTTCCATGTCAGTGACTGTCTGCGACACTGGATGGATGGACAGCTGGTTCTTGAAGCCGAGCGCGTCGGTTAATATTTGGAAATTGGATGGATGGACCGGGCTTCAACTGGGTCTTAAAGCCGAACGCGTCGGTTAATATCTGAAAATATAACTTTACCAAAAAGTATTGGAAAGAACATAGAAAGTTAGGAAGCACAACCGAGTATTAAGAAATTGGCTGGCTGCTTTATAGCGGACAAAAAACAGTCAACAGGAGATATACACATGGAAATAATTGGCTGAAGATTTAGGAAAAAGCGCAAATAATACTTTGCAAGACGTAACGAAAAAAAAAAAAAAAAACGTTTACAGTATGGCTATAGTGTAATAACTCACCCGTGTATCTTCTGTCAGCTGCGGTGCAACCGTTGAAATTTGAACTTTAACCCAACGCGCTTTCTTATTATAGAAACAACCCAATAAATGTTCTGAATAACCCAACAGTACGACCCAATATTTTTTACCCAGCTATTGGGTACACAAAACAACCCAACGTTTTTTAGAGTGTATTGTTTCAAAGCAGCTTTACAGACTTATATATTATAAATAAATAACACATTTTTCTTAAATATATACATGCACGTGTGTGTATTTATATAAACAAAATCATTACACAGTACACACAAACTTTTATTTTGGATGCGATCAATCACGATTAATCGTTTCACAGCCCTACTAGTGCATTCCACTGGTATTTAACTTTCCACTTCATACCATAAAGATCGTGTACTCAGCCTTGTTGTTCAACCTATTAGTATGTATCTGTGGGGCTAGCATGGTTTTAACGGTTGCAAGAGGTGTGGAATGTGAGCTAGTTTATGCATTTCAGCCTGAGGCTCTTCATGGTGGTTTGTGCCGCCCTGCAAATGACATCAGCAATGTGGTTGATTCTGCCTTTGGTATACTGAAACCCCTCATTCCACAGCCACTAATACCGCCTGAGCATACCATGACCCCATATTAGATTATGTTTCATTACTTTTGCACAGGTTATTGATATGGATCAAAGGAAAACAGAAAGCCTGACCTTACTATGGACCATTTGAATGAATGAAAGCGCTTCAACTTGCCTGGATGTAATGGGACCTATCTCACACTTTTTTTTTACTAGCATTACACCAGTTCCTTTTTACAAATGCTCCCCTGACGATTGATGGGAATTCTGGGTAGATGGCTATATGAAAATCTCCTGACAGAGCTGGATTTAATATTGCAGAATGATATAAGCCTGATAGACTAGCTTGTTCTAAGTCTGCATCAGCTCTGCACACGAATGGCTCATACAAATGGTTCATGCAAATTATTTCAAAGGAAAGAACATTTGGTTCAGCTCTGTGAAATATGATTTGTGTTTTGTGTGTGTGCAATTAAGACCCGTCTATTTCATCAAGACTGTTATTAGTGGTGTTTATTTTTTGTCGTCTTCATCTCATAATTACTGAAGTGTTTAGGGCTTCTGATAACTTATCAGCTGCTTTGTGACGTTTGCAACTAGTGGCACCAGTTGTCACCAAAATCGACATTGTGAAGAACATAGTGTGATGAGCCCTGGTTCAGATGTGAACACTCATATTCATAAATATTTCAGTTAAAATTACTTGTCTCCTGCAGGTCACAGTATATTGATCTTCTTCAGAAGAACCTTATGAAATTGACTGTACTTGTGTAAATGATGTGCACACACCGTAGGTGTAGACAATATTGAAAATCAACATGATGCATGTTGCATGATGCACTGAAAGGAACATTTTGCAGGAATGTACAATTCAGGACACACACAACAAAATTAACTGCAACAAAATACACAACAAAGGACAAAAAAATGCATTGTTTTATTCTCTAAATTAGTTCAGGGTTCAGTAGAAGTTCAGCGATTGTGCCTTGTCATATTATCAAGAGTTTCTTATCTCATGATTTTGTGCTAAGTTGTCTCTAAACCTTTGCACAAGTGCATATTTGAGTTAATAAAGTGATCTACTAATAATTTTACTTATGTTTCAATGTGAAATATATATATATATATATATATATATATATATATATATATATATATATTATTTCTTACATTAAAATATTAAAAATTCTACTTGGTTACAATGGCTGTTTGATTTGATTTGAAAAATCTCCTTTTTAGCCATTTCATAGCAAACATGTATAAGAAAAATGTCAATGTAAGACTTTTTTGTGCAATTTTAGGTTAACATTCCTTAAGGCTTTAGGCAAACATATTTCTTTCACAAAACCAGGCTTGGCTAAAACAGCCAGAATGGCTTTGAGTGAGTGGTTTCTTGCTGCAGGTTCATTCACGTTAGGACAGGTTTATAAGTCTGCAATTCCATTCAGCACACACATAAAGAAATCATTCCACTGCTAATTATGTAACACTGTTTTAATTACCTTAATTAATCTTTTAATTATATTTATATAGCCTACAGTATAATAAAATAAGAACAAAGAAACGATAACAAACAGTAGGAAACAGTAGGAATTTAAACAAATTAAATGGACCTATCTGAAAGATTTAGCACTAGAGTTAAGAATAATAAAATAAATAAATCAGTCAACCGATATATAAATGCCAATATTTTGGCATTTTTTTAAATATCGGCTTCGGCTGAATTGTTTGGTTTGCTTTCTGTTCAGCTGATGTGTTGGAAGCGAGATTTTTTATTTTTATTTTTATTTCACATCTTAAGTATGCATTTGCAGATTACCTTGCAAAAAAAAAAAGTGCATTTTCAATTCATTTCACATTTATTTGTATAGCGCTTTTTTAAAATTTAGAGTGATCTGTTATCAGAGGTGACTAGGTTATGTATTTCAGATATGTACATATATAAAATCACAGTTAGCTGAATATTTATTAATTTAAACAATGTGATAAAGGAGGAAACAATGAGCTCATTGAAGTAATGAATACTTGTTTGTCAACAAATGACATTTAGAAAATTGTTGCATTGGTGCATGTATTCTGTACATGACAGTCAGGTCGTTAGACTGGAGAAGAGTTCAGCTTTACTGAAGATGCACGATTGACAAACATAATTTTGTCCATTTTTCTCCATGTCCGCTGTATGTAAAATTAGTGTTTCCTTGTCTTAGGCTTTGTTTGGAAAAAGAAATATTGCCAGAAGTCATGTTCATAATCATAAAAGTTGCCATCTAAAGTGTAAATATTGCCATTTAAAGTTTATTTTTTAAATTCTTTTTTACAATTTTTCTTTTTAATTGATTAAATATTAAATAAAATTAATATAATTGTAGTATATCAGCCATCGGGCACAAGAAGTCGGCATCGGCCATTAAAAAAATCTATATTGGTCGAACACTATACATAATTAATAAATCACCTCAAGTCACGTCACCTTTATTTATATAGTGTATACAAAACAATACAATACAGATTGCTTCAAAGCAGCATTACAGTGATAACAAGAAAACTATGCATTTCGGCTGTTGTTCATCAATTATTAAATTTGTTAATTTCATCTGCAAAGCAGTTCTGCAAAAAATAAAATAAAATATTCATCCAGGTTAGTTCAGATCTCGTACAATAGCATTAGAAGGCTAGCCTGGTTCAACCAGACTCTAGTTCATTTCATTTCCACATAGAGTCTGGAACTGCTCCATTGAAAAACGTTTCCTTCCTTGTAGGCGGGTTCACTATTAAAGTTCAAATCTATTGGATCTGCCCAAAGTCACTCACGATCTGCCATAGCCAATCGCTAAAGGGGTGTCGTGAGTGACGTATGTCACGCGCCGAAATGGCTGGAAACAACAAGTCCGAATGATCAGAGGATTATGTTTACAATAGGATTTCAGTCAACGAGCGCCGCAGGTTTTGTTAATCTAGGAACAATTATTAATTCGAAATGTATATTTGACACGAAGGACAGTGATATATTCATTCAACGGTGGAAGCTGTGTCTAATCATTACAAATACGCCGCTGTGGTCGTTTCTGATCTGCCGCAAATGCTGTAGCAGCTAGTGAATGATCAGTCTGTCTCTATCTGCAGATGTGTAATAAACAACAATTTTTAATTTTAGTAAAACAAATCAACCATTGCCATCTAAAACTGAAAATCAAATATCTTCAAAGTATGGTTTTTCACATTTTTATTTATGACAATTATTTTTTTTTTAAATCACAACCAATTTGTATGATTTACAACATGTAAAACTGACACACCAACCTCCTGCACGAGTGCACAAAGGGGCTCAAAATGTTCTATTCATCACAAGAATCAGTACATTTACAGTTGGGAATATGAGCGACTAACATGACTCCTGAGCGGATCTTCAACAATAGTTTAACAGCCAGGACTCGGGGCTTCCGAACACCGCGAACACCAGGCTAAACCGTCCGTCCAAAATGTCACGGTCATCGTGCACGAACTGCCCAGCACAAACTTCCAAACTTTCTGCCTCCTTCACTTGGTCCTCAGTTGTGCAACAAGAGGTTAGACGATAACAATCCGGCTTTAAATTCTATATATTCGGCTGTTTCTTTTCCAACAACGGACCAAATAGCTTTTCTCACGTCTTTCTCCGCTGCCATTACTGAATTGAAACTGACGCGCTTACATCAACGTCATCTTTCTCAGCCACTCCCTCTATTCGCTGATTGGTCCTACAAAAAATTGGTTTCTGGAAACCTAAGGATATGGAGCGATCCCAGACGTAGTACAGAAGTAAAATGAAATTGAGCGGAAGTGCGTAGGAGGGCGCAGCCAGGCTATTAGAAGGCTACAGTCACATCAAAAATATTGTTGAATATTAAAGGGGACATGAACTGGCTTTTTAAATTTTATTATATTGTTGTCTGAGGTAAACGTGTGACGTTTGCTTGGTTTTTGCATTCAAAAACATCAAAATGAATAAGTAATAGGCTATTTTGTACCCTAGTTTTGAGCCTATAGCTGAGAAACGCTCGGTTTTTATGGGCGTCTCGCACTAAAGACTTGGAAGTAAACGCTCACTGCTGTGAGTGGATAACAGTTTTGCATATTATAATGAGTTTCAACATGGGGGAAATTGTTTTGAAAACCAATGCCCAATGTTGTAAAATGGCAACCGGAATGATTCTTCCATACATGTTCGACCCAGAGTCCGTGTGTTGAACA